CTTGTAGGGCGTAGAACTTGTTCACCAGCTTCGCCTGTACATCCAGCTCTTCCCGCACTTTGGTCTCCAGCCTGACACAGAGTTTTCCGAATGGTGTAGTTTCCCGGAGAGCTGCTTTTCGGGAGACTGACTGGGCACGGATCGTCGTCATCCTCTTCGGGCATGGTCATTTGACTGCATGATCGCAAGCGGGTAGTTTCTGTTGGTACCTCCCCCTTCGCGATAACCGCATAGCAAAACACGATTTTGTCGCCGACTTTTCGTACGACAGACCCGGTGGCGTCGATATGTAGCGGCGTTGGACCGTTCCGATATCGGTTCAGCATGCTTTCGCGGTATATGTGCACGTGAAATGTCTCTGCGCTTAGTGCATGCATGTCACCCATGAGGGTCCGAGAGGAGAAGTCTGCGCTTCTAGAGGCGCGCATAGTTACGAGAACGTCATGGAACGCATCAGCGCTGAAGCGTCCCACCTCTTTGGATTCTGCAGCAGCGCGGTTGTAGGACCTCAAGGCTTGGAACGCCGGTGAAGTCTCTCTTTTAGATTTTCTTCATTTGCGTCATCCAAGAGGTCTCGTCGCACGTTGTAGGCGCCTACATTGATGGTGGCCCTGGCCGCCTCTTTCCGTGCGGTGCCGGTTAGTGGCCTTTGGGCCGGCAGGCCCTCGTGCTGTGATGATCCACGACGGAATATTTCCACTTTTAGAGCTGCCTGGTCGTCAGGGTTCCGTACGATGAGCTTCAGCTGAACGTCGCAGTTTTGGCGTTTGCAACTTGCATACGCTCGCCAATAGCAACCACTCCTCTTCGTTGCTGGATGGGGGGGGGGGGGCACTGTGGTGATGTTAAACACCCAGGTACAGTGTGGCAATTCATTACAGAGTTGTCCTACCCATCTCCTCCGTCCAACCACGCCGCATGATTGTTACCTGATGGCTCCAAACAGCTCTCCGCCATTCGTCGACTGCATCTGGCGCATGGTCCTAGTTTCCCAAATAAACTGGACGTTGTGCGGTCCTCTCCAGTAAAAGCCTGGCTTGTGCACCCAGATATTGTCGACAGGGTCGCCAGGGGCCGGCTCGCGTCAGGAGACGGACTCATAGCAAGCCGGGACTCATTGGTGCCCAGCTGTCGACGGGGTTGCGGGGCCGGTCGCGTCAGAAGACGGGCTCATAGGAGCCGGGCTCATGTGCCCAGCTGTCGACGGGGTTGCGGGGGCCGGTCGCGTCAGGAGACGGGCTCATAGGAGCCAGGCTCGTGCGCGTCAGCTGTTGCCACCGGTAGTGGGCACGACCTGTTGTTTGTTCTCGTCTAGTTCCTTCTTCCATGCGGATGCACTACCGACGACTATTAGGTCTCGGGCCTTTTGTACTTCGCTCGCGAATGCAGGGTCGTTTACATACTTTCGCATGATTCGGCGACATAGCAGTTTTAGGCGCTTCCGTCGTTTGCCACCCGTCGACGGCAGGATGTCTTACAAAGCGTCCATCCAGACGGTAACGGTTGACGGCGCAGCCTCAAACCGCCTCAGGCTCAGGAATGTTCTGATATTTGTAAAATAAAAATCGCCCGATAGTTTGGGATGATATAGAGTTCCCCATCTTTTGACCCCGTGTTTGACCTTAAAGTGTGACCGTGAGAGGACAGGAATTTTTTACGGACGCTAGCTCTTCCTCTGGTGATCATTTTGACATCTTTAAGTAAAAAATCAGCCGGTAACTTTCGGATGATATGGAGTTCCCCGTGTTTTGAGCCTGCGTTTGACCTTGAAGGCTGACCTTGAGAGGCCAGAACTTTTTGACGGACGCTAGTTCTTTTCTGTGTTGAATATTTTGACATTTGCAAGTTGAAAACCGGCCGGTAATTTTTGGGTGATGTCGAGTTCCCTCGCCCTTTGACCCAGCTTTTAACCTTGAAGGTCACATGATGTTGCAAAAAAAATCATTTTTGGTGCTTTCATGCCACAATTGACCTTGAAACAATTTTTCAGGGAAATCGGAACTCGTCGCTGGAAAAATCGCTGAATAATCGCTAACTTCACGAACATCCGTTGAAGCCACTCGGGCAGTTCGTGGGGGAGGCATTTCACGACAAAGTGACAAGTGTCTTACACCCTCATCCTCAGATTTTGATTAAATTGTGTTATGGGGTTTGTCATTAACGCTGAAGTCACCGGTGACGTTTTTAAATCTCTCAGCTGCATCTTTTCGGAGTTCAGGCCTCCACCAATTTCAAGTTGCGTGGTTGCAGAGCTAACATCAGTGGCAGTTTTCCACTTGCTTGAAAGATGATTTGGCGAACCTTCCTTTTAAAATGATCAGAAACTGTCTTAAATATTTGTATGCCAGCCTTGAAGCCGTCATCGCACGATGAATAATTATTCGAGTATTACGAACTGTTGCAAGGCACGAAGAACAATTTTCCTGTGTGGTGTTGATATTTTCCTCATGAGCGTGTGAAAGTGTAGTTCATTGCATGCAGGATAGTCATAAGAAAGCTCGCTATCTGCCCGCAAAGACGTAGTCCATGCACCAAAGAATCATACGTAGAGCACGAAGACTGGGCGCGCGGCAGACCGCCGTAACCGGCTGCCCCCCCCCCCCCCCCTCCTTCCCTCATGTTTACTCTCTGAGCCGAGGTAATTGGAGCAGCGGGGAGGGGGGGGGGAGGTGGGTGCACACTGTGAAGGTG